CCCCTACCAGCGGACCCCCCTCCGTAACCGGCGCAACGGCGGGTTGTGAGGCCGGTTAGGGGCCGCGGCTGGAACCCCCGGGGTTCGCAACCGTTAGCGACCGTTTGTGCGGCGCATGCTTTGCGCGCACATTGTCAACTGCTACCAACTTTGAGTTGCCTGGCACCGGGCTGGGCGGTCACTGTGTCACCCCAGCGCGGCACTCCCGCAGTGACGCACAGTCATACTCGAGCCATGGCGCAAGGGGTTGTTGGGCCTGGTGAACAGCCAGGCACTATTTCTGCTATGTCAGACGGATGGCACGTGTCTTGGCCGGCCCGCTTGGCCCGCGAGGAACGCGAGCAACGGGCGCTAGCTCAGGCTGAGGGCGTGGACGAGTGCGAGGGCACTCCAATCGCAAAATGGGGTGGGCACGGACCAAGCACTGCCGGGCATGACCCTGCGTCGTCGCCCGGGAGCAGCGGACAGCACAGCGTGCATAGGGCAGCGCGCTGGCGCAGCACCAGCCAGCAAAGCGTGGTGACAGGCAGGCTGGCTGTGTGCTCTGCGGCATTGTTTGCGGAGAGCGTCACCCAGGCGACCCCGCCGCGCCAGCCGCGGTCGCCGTCGGCATACGCGGCTGGTGCTGGGCCTGACGAGGACAACGAGGTGCGTGGCGTGCGGCCAGATCGAAGTTGGGCGCAGACGGGATGGGGGGACGAGCGTGCTCATGACAGACGCACTGTGTGCCACCTGACCCAAGGGGGCTTGGTGTTGCGGCTGGGCCGTCATCGCTGTTGCCCGGCGGCCCTATCGACGGCACGGAGGTTTGCCTTCCTGAGAGTGCTACTGCCCGCCTCCTCTGCCGCCGCTGCGGCACGGACGCTCCCTTGATGGCCCTCCGCACGCTCACCCGCCGGCATGGGCACGCCATCATTGCAGACCGCTGGCTGTGACTTGGATGTGGTGCCAGAAACGCCGAGCAGCGGTGGCTGCGGCGTGAATGTGGCTGATTGGGCCCGAGCTGGCGGCAGCCAGGCAACCGCATCACGTGATGTGGTGCAGCCGCATCAGCCACGCATGATGCCTCCCAGAGGTGGGCTGTCGCTCCCATTGCGGCGGCTGCATCCTTGTATCATATCTTGTTGGGGGGCCCGTATGAAGGCAGATTTTTGTGCTTGGGCGGCGGATGCGTTGCAGGCTTGGCGGGTCGCCCGGCCTCCTGCGCCATGCATCGCTCGCGACACCGACGTCTGGGCGTACACACCCACGTGACTGGGCATGCACTCATCTGCAGGCGGGCAGTATGACATTGCGACCCCCCTCCCCCCTCCCCCAACGCCGTATTCAACACAGCACAGGCCAGGATGGCAGGGAGGACTCTGGGCTGGCGACTGGCGCAACAGCGTGCGCACCAGCGGCCATGGATGCAGCGCAGCACCCCGCACCCCGGTGTGGGCGCTTGTCGTATTTGCGGCGCATGCTCGCCTGGCACGAGGCGACGGACATTGTGGCGGGCCTGCACCCCACGTGGGCAGCACTGGATCAGCGGGAGAGGCAGCAGGCGGTGTCGGAATTCTGGAATTCTGATAAGGGCGCCGAGCTGCGCGCACGCCACCTCCGCCCCTCAAACTGTGGCGTTGACCGGTCGTGAGTTTGACAGCTGCGTGTTGGTCTGGTCATCTTGCAGGCGCTGTTGCATGCTTGTTCACTGGGTGGCGCGCTGCAGCCAACGGCCGCGCGCATTCCCTGGTCGGCTGCGTATGCGAGCGTGTGCAGCTGCGTCGACCCCCCTCGGATGGCAATTTGTGCGGCTGGGGCATGGATGTATTCACAGTCTGTACGTCTGCAAGGCGATGCTGCTCATGCACAAATAGAGCATTGATTATATGTTACTTTCATGTAGGCGGGCTGGTGGCACCAGCCAAGGTGCTGTTTGAGAACAGAATCAGCAAGGCTGGTGCAAACAGCTGAGGGCGGGGGGGCGGCAAAGAGCAGCAAATCGAGCAGCAATTCTGTGCAATGGTGCGCAAATGTGGCAGGGGCGGGGTGTAGCAGTTAAATATGCTGGCTCTCCCAGAGGCCCGTCGGGGCGCAAGTGGGCGGCCAGGAATGCACAACAAAACGGGGGCTCATTGCCGGCGTGCATGGGAGGCGAGCAGGTTGCCGGAGTGGCACGAGCAATACAGCTAGCAACAGGGCTGTGTGGTTTGGGGGCAACAGGGCTGCGGTGCGTGTGCGGCGTGTGCCATCAAGCGAGGGTCGGTGCGGGCCCGGCGAAAAGGGTGTTCAGCTTTTTGGAGCTACAGCCCGGGGGGCCCGTGCCATCCCGCCTGCTCCATAAAATAGAAGTCACGGCTGGGGTCCAGGACCACCCGCGAGGTGACGTGCCGGCGGGGGTGCGGCAGCACCATGATGTGCATGGGGATCACGCGCGCGGCAGGAAAGTATGTGGAAGGGGGCAGGCCGGCGCCCGTGCAGTCAGACTGGTCGATGCGCGGGGCGTGCAGCTCGCGGTCGTACCCAGCACCCCCACGGCGTGCAGCCACCCACTTCACATTGAGCCAAATCGCGCGCTCCTCTGCACCGTGCAGTGCGAAAGTCGTATGCTCGATAATGCTCTGAATCTCGCCAAACACCATGCGTGCGCGCTCGGAGCCGGCGCCAGCCTCCTGATCGCCGTCCTCGCGTGGCAGCACTACCCAGGAGCAGCGGCCGTGCCCGCGCGCAGCAGCTGCCTTTGACCAAAATGTGACGTGGCCAATGGTCACGCTTTCGAACGTGCGGCAATCGTGCGGCATGGACACCAGCTCAGCGTCCTCGCTGCTGCAGAGCCGCTGCTCTGTGCGCGTGTGGACCCAGGCCTTCCACCGGGTGGCAGCCACCACAAACGCAGCTGGGGGGATTCTGACGTTCCGCCGCGACCCTCCCAGCTTCTTGAAGGTCTTCTTGTCGTTTGCCTTGCTGCAAGATGGAGAAAGACAGGCGCGCAGATGGTGGCAGCTTCAGCCGGCAGCACTTGTGTGTATAAAAAAGCGATTCAAGCAGATACAGTCGGCGCGTGACCGCGGGAAGCCGTATCAATCCTAATCCTAATTTCCACCCACCGATCACACACTTTTAGCAAAGCGCCAGAGCCCGCACCGTCAACGGCAAAGCGCCTCCCGTGCACCCCAAGCACTCGCGCATATTTTGCTCACCACCAGTCCCAGAACTCCGGCATAAACAGCTCCCACAGCTGCCCGTAGCGCTCCACGCCATACCAGGTCAGCGCGTTGTGGATGTCAAACTGCTGTGGCCAGCTGAGGACACCAGCGCGCGCTCCCATGCCGGGTGTCACGTCACGATCAACCAGCGTGGCGGTGCGGCCGGGCAGCCGCAGGGGCTTCGGCGGCTTCGAAGTGAGGCGCACTGGGCGGGCACCGCGTCGCGCGTGGCCGGTGGCGTCGGGGTCAATGACATGCAGGTAGTTGACCGACTCAAGATCGGTGACCTTGTGCAGAATGTCTTGCTCTGGATGAGCCTGGTTGCCAATCATGCGCACCAGCGTGCCCCACAAGCTCTCGGCTTTCCAGAGGGCAGTGGTGACCATGGTGCCAGCAGTGATGATCTGCTGGGGGGCGTGAGCCAGAAGGTGAAGCTTCATGTCGAGTTCTGAGGCCGGAAAGTTCTTCTCCACCCGGCACAAGGCCTCCAGCACGCGGCGCGTCGTGGTGGCCAGCTGCTTGCGCGTGAAATCCTTGGCGGTCACCAGCCCGCAGGCGATGAGCAGGCCGATGGCAGCATCGCGGCACGGGGCTGACATGTCAAAGGCGTGCGCCAGCAGGTACACACCTACAAGTGACGGTGTGTGGTGGTGCGGTTTTTCGGGCTGCAAACGGGCGGTGGCTGCACCGCGATCGGGGTAGCAGCTCGAGTCTGCACGCGTGCAGCGGTGAGGCCGGCTGCTTATCCATGCGAGGCCTGGGCGCTTGACGCAGCATGGATGCCCAAGACATGCAACAGTCACCCCTGGGCGCTTTGGAGACAGAACGGCGCTCAAGAGCCGTTCTCACCCAGTGGCCCAGCCAGACGATGAAAGTCTGCCATGTTCTTCTTGCGGTTGATGCGCAGCAAGTGGCGAAAGCGCTGGCCGCCCTTGCCGGTCGGCAGAGCGTGTGCCAGCTGTGCCAGTACGCGCTCCATCCTCTTGATGTCGTCGGTGCTGAGCTGGAAATCCAGGCCGTTGCCGCTGTTGAATGTGCGGCCGTTGACGTGCTGCTCATAGTCCTCCACAAGAGCCCAACGCAGCCCCAAGAGGCTCTTGATGAGGTCCTACTCACAGTTTGGGGGCGAGCCAGCAGGCGTTGTGAGTGCAGGAAGCAGCACAGGGCAGCGCGCGCTAGCTGTGCTGCCAGGAGGTCTGGAGGTAGGGCTGCGGCATGCAGATGCACCGCAGGATAAGCTCAATGGTACACGTGCGCCCAAGGGCCGCGCCAAGGCCAGCGCGCGCGGCCCCGGCCCCCCCTCCGCTGCACACCTCCAATGGGAGCCTGCCGCGTGCATGCTCTTGAGCACTGCTGTGCCGGCGTTTTTGAAAACCCGCACGCTGCCCAGCTGTTGCCCCGCCTCACCTTGATGATCCCAGATATCATATGCATCGAGTCTATGGCGACGCTGTTGTTGGGGTCGGGCAGCAAGGCCTGCAAAGCGCAAGGGTGTGCACCAGCTGAGTCATCCGCCAGCCCCTCCGCGCTGCTGTCACTGCTGGCCGCCGTGCTGCCGCTGCCCGTGTCGGTGTCTGTATTCTCATCAATGGCGTCGGGCTCGCCCTCGTCGCTGGCGTCCTCGCTGCTGCAGCTGCTGTCGCTGCCGAATGCTTCAGCCCAGAGGTCGGCGGGCAGGCCCAAAGGTGGTGCGTCCATGTCGCCCTGGGTGAGGTTGCCATCAAGAGGCTCTCGGGCGCCGCGCACGCGCTCCTCGGCGGTACGCATGCGGGGCGGCAGATCGCTGGGTGAGGGTTCGTCATCTGGGCTGCGCTTGACAGCTGAGCACGTCTGCGCCCGCAGGCGGTGGTGGAGAGGCAGCAGCTTCCAGAACTGGGCATAGAGGCGCTTGCGGTTTGGGCTGGCAGAGAAGCCGGCCACCCAGCACAGCGGGCAAGCGTGAGTGGATGGCACCGGGGCCAAATTCAGCAGCTTCTCGACGGCTCTGCAATGAAAGGACGCGGGGGAACGGTTGTAAACTGATTGGATTGTCAAGTTGTTGCAGCCGCACGGCGTGAACGGCCACACGCCGCAGACAGCACCAGCTTGCTGATGTCCGTCTCGGCCCGAGGCTCTCAACTTGAAGCGGGCGCGCATGCGGGCAGACGGCAGCACAGCTGCGGCGCCGGCGGTTTGCTTGTGCCGGCCGGCCGCGGTCCCATGTAATTGCAGCTGATTAATGCTGCCCCCGGACGAGCAATCACACATCCTACGCCTCAATCAGCGCGGCCCACACCTGCTGTCGGCCGACGCCAGGGTCAGCCTGGCGTGGCAGGTGAAAGTCTCGTCCGCGTGACTGTCGTACACCTCGACCCCGACCTCCATCGCCGCCTTCAGCTCACTCACGACGAGGCGCTTAACGCCCTCCAAGGTCATAGGGTTCTCTCGGCTGCCCGGGGTGATTGTGATCAGGAAGCAGGCGCCAAGCTCGTACCGCAGGTGCAGGGGGAGGTTCAGGCACACCACATGTTGGACAGCCGCACGCGGGCCAGGGCAGGTCAGTATGAAAAGAGCAGTGAACTTGTTGCAAGCGGCGACGCAGGGCAGCACATGTGCGTGCGTGCACACATGATGCCGGGGCGCGCAGGCGCTCATGTGATCACCAGCGCGCAGGCATGCCCACGACGCGCCGCCGTGCCCACACACACACACACGTGTGTGTGTGTGTGTGTGTGTGCGTGTGTGTGTGTGTGTGTGTGTGTGTGTGTGTGTGTGCGTGTGTGTGTGTGTGTGTGTGTGTGCGTGTGTGTGTG